GGTGCCTCGAAGCTTTCAGAGCCCTGCCTTTGTTCTTTTCCCTGGATGGGGGAAGGAGTCTGTAACGCATCCACACCCAGAATCTTTGCATTTCCACAGGTACTTGTGGAAGGAGCCCCATTTTTTCAAGGCATTTTGTTACCAGGCCCTAACCAGCCAATTGTTCACATTTCTGCTGAGCAGCCTAAAATACTGACCTGGGACCTGTGAACCCTTTTATACCTTTTCAGGAACTGAATAGTAAATGATTAGAAAAATTTCAGGTCTACATGACTTGGTAAATTTAGTTTTCTTCTTAAAGAAGAGGGTGATGTTGAAGGTCAAGGCATAAATGCTGTTTGAGATTTAATAAAATAAGTAGATAACTTCTTGAGATGTGCTGCTAATTGTTGTTGGGATTTGTAGCTTGTGCTGGTTTCACTCCTTTGGCTCCAGGCAGACCCAGTCACTCTCTCACTGGCTCTGTGGGAGAGGATTGGAGAGCTAAAAGTAAGAAAACTCATGGTTTGAGATAAAACAATTTACTAATGGCAATTAAATAATAATGATAATAACAGAATGTACAAATGAGTGATACCCAGTGCAGTTGCTCACCACCTGCCGACCGATGCCCAGCCTGTCCCAGCCAGCGATCCTGGAGCAGAGACAGTCCTGAAACTGAAACCCGGGAAGAGCGAGAGCCTGAGCAATCCCCAAGGTAATACCCCTGTTTTCCCATCAGCCCTGGTTAATACACTGACCATGACGTGACATGATCTGGAATATCTCCTTGGCACATCCAAATGCCAATTTGGGGTTTTGCTAATTACTACACTTCTCCCTCCCAGTCCTAATGCAGCTGTGAACCAGCCAAACACGCCGGCCTTGGGCTCCGGCAGCAACTGATCACATTAGGACTTTATCAACATTCTTCTCATAACAAATCCCACACTGAACCTAAACCACAGCTCTTCAGGCTGCTGAGTAGAAAATGAACTCTATCCCAGCAAAACCAGGACATAGCTGAAAACAAAGCACAGGAATGGTGTTTGACAGCTTGAGAACTGGATAAATGTCTTAACATTCTGTATTTGCCTGTATGTGCCCATAACATTTCTGGCTCTGCAGTGATGAGCCCAAGGAATACAGCTGAAAACACACGTTCCCCTCAGTCCATAGCAGAACTTTGGCTGGGGCTGGACAGGTTGCAGACAACGAGAGCAGATTATAACATTTGCACAGCAGCTGAACTTTGAACTGTTGGGCTGTTCGTTTGAGCTGTTGTTCGATATTCGAGCTCCCACTGCAGCACATGGCATTGCTTCCTGGGGAGGCCTGTGTGTACCCAGTTTTAACTCGGCTTCTTCTCCTGTTCTTTTCTCAGACATTTCCTGGTTTTGTTCCTGTCTGAAGTTTACAGGAGCAAGGCTGCCTGCAGACATGGCAATGCTGCACCAATTTCTGCACAAGTCACATTTCCATGTTTTCTCCTCCTATCCCACACAAGGGATAGGAGGAAAAATCTCTGGCTGAGATCGTGCTGGTCTGAATGTGTCTGTAAAGTTAGAATTCACAGGCAGAATGTGAAATAGGAATTGCCCTTCCTCCTTTTGCTCTGCACATTCGTCCTTTGCAGGGAACGAGAGACTCATGGTTGCAGCCGTGTGTGCGATGGAACATCCCCCTCTTCCCTGGTGCTCCCTTCTTGCCGTTTTGATCTTGTCCCACCCTTCACTGGGAGAACCAAACTCCTGGGTTTGTTTCTCCTTGACCTTTGTCGTAGTGCCCAGATCTGTCTGTCCGCTTGAACATGTCTGGCAATTTCCATTATAAAAGGATTTTTGCTCACTTTCCTCATCTGCTGCTCCTTGATGAAAGAGGCTGCCAGTGTGTATTAGATCGCATGGCCTGTTCCGCGGAGCACAGTGTCCTTGACCTAGAGCTGAATGACGTGTCCTGTGCATGAGTCAGGTCTCCACTGATGATGATTTTGATGTGATGGCTGTGAAGGCACACACCCAGTTCTGGAGTGGCAGGATTGAGGTGTGTGTGTGCTGTCATGGTCTTTGGTGACACAGTCACATTTCACAGAGATTGACCCATTCAGTGCCCAGGATGAAGAACGCTCAGCAAGGACGTAGTGCTCACTATCTTTTATCATCGTGCACGTCACAGCCCTGTGTTTTTATTGCTATCTGAGCAATACTTCATTTCCTTCTGGGTGTTTCTGTTGCGCTTATCGCTAATAGCTGCATTGCGTGTGTCTGAAACCCTTTTCAGGACTGAGTTCCAAGGTTAAGAGAATATTCTTTTTATCACTAAAGTAACAAAACACCTTTCTGATTGAGATGATGCCAAAGACAGATCCTGTTAGCGAGTGGACTCTTCTGATGAGAAGATCAGGTTCCTGACGTGCTCATTGCTCAGCACATTTAGATGGCAGGATTTGGTGTATTGAGTGTTAAGGTTACATAGAGATGGAATAAGGTTTACATGATGTTACTAGTTTTGCAAGTTAAAACTCTGAATAGTAAAATCTTACAGTGTGGTGGTTTGGGTGGATTCACCCTTTTGCTTGCAGCTTGCAGCCAAACACAGCCTGCTCTATCACCCTCCCCCCCCTCCCCCTCACCCAGGGAATAGGGGAGAGAATTTGGAAAGAAGGGCAAGGACTCACGGGTTGAGATAAAAACTATTTACTAATTAAAAGAAAATGATAATGATAACAACAGTGATAACAGACTATACAAATGAGTGATACACAGTGCTCACCGCCCGCTGACCAATGCCCGGCCTGTGCCAGCTAACGATCCCGCAGCCGAGACGGTCCCGAACCGAAACCCCGGAAGAGTGATCCCGAGCGATCCCCGAGAGAATGCCCCGTCTTCCAGTCAACCCTGGTTAATATACTGGCATGACATGACATGATCTGGAATATCTCATTGGCACATCCAGATGCCAGTTCTGGGTTTTGCTCTTCACTGCGTTTCCCCCTCCCAGTCCTAGTGCAGCTGTGAACCAGCCAAACACAATGACCTTGAGCTCCAGCAGCAACTAAAAACACCAGTACTGTTATCAGTGTTCTTCTCATACTATGTCTGAACTGAAACACTGAAAGTAAAATACAGCTATTCTAATTACTAAAAAGAAAATTAACTCTATCCTAGCAAAACCAGGACATACAGAAACTCAAGAGAGCAAAATTTAAAAAAAACCCAAACAAACCAAAGAAGCAATTCTTTCAAAGTAAGACATTGTTAGCAGTTTTTCACCTTGGTGCCTGCAGCCTTCTTGGCCTGATGGAACAAAGTGGTAGTCGTAAAAGAGGTTTTGGAGAAAGCCTTCAGCAAATGTTCTTTGAATATGCCCTTTTCTAAATTAAACTAGCAAATTTCCATATCCGTGTACATGGATGAAAATGTCACTGATCTTTTAAACAAAACCAGCATTTGGTGCAGGGCCCGTGCCCTGAGCTTGCCAAGGAGCCTGGCCAGCTGGAATTGGGGTCATGCATCCACCTGGCACAAGAAGGTGGGGACGTCCCTGTGGGGACGGCAGAAGGGAAGGCCGGTGACCGCCGCGGAGCTGCGAGGGTTTCCCCTGTGCAGAACTGTCCCTGCGGTTTGTGGTGTGGAGGTGCCTTTGCAGTGAAACTCAACAGGAGAAGGGAGAGGAGGGGACAGTTGTGGGTGCACAAGAGCGTGGGATGGAAGGGCGCTAGCAGGAGAGGGGAGCCTGACCGGCTGGCGGGTGCCGTGAACTGAAGATGGAGGGAGGGTGGAGGAGCTGACAGCGGGCACAGGCCAGGCAGTGCTGGAGACTCTTGAGGGGACTGGAGTGGGTCTAGCAGTGAGGTCTGTGCTGTCCCCGGTGTGTGGCCAGCAGCCCCCTGGCTCTGACTACATCAGCTGCAGCAATATAGCTGGTTTCTCTTGAGCTTTGTCTGCTTCTTCCTTAGGGCAGACTAGAGCTGTGATGATTTGTTGAGCGCCAGCTGAACTTCCAGCTGAACTGGCATCTGAGGCTGAATCCTGCAACCTTACCAGTGATGTGGTCTGCATGGGGGCAGGAGCCAGCTGGATGTCCCTAGGGGCTTTCCGAGCGTCTCATTAAATAAAGTATGCAAACAAAGGGTAATTGCAGAAATGTTGGACTGGTGGATGAAAAGGCTATGGGCAGTTGGCAAAGCTTGCATGATGCAAATCAGCAGCCATTAGAAATTCCAGTGTGAGTGTAACAGAAAAAGAAAACCTAGAAATGGCTCATTCATGTAACTGGTAGAAGAACTTTCCACCACAGAAGTCAGACCCCAGGATCAGGTTTTGCTCTCAACTGAAGAAGATTTGAGCTGTGATAACTTCAAACTAGAACCTTGCCAGCAAACCTCAAACACCTCTTTGGCTTGGTCCCCTCCCATTGCTTGTGATGAACTGGGGACGCAGTGCTCTTTTACTGAGGTGACTGCAGGGGACATTCTGGCCTGGGAGAGTGGGCTGTTGTAGTTTGACCCACAGTGGGACCATGCAGTCCTGCATTTACTCTTCCCACCCGGTGAGTGTCCTGGTTTTGCTGGGATAGAGTTAA